TTTCTGCTGTGCCTTTTGCAACCGGACATGCCTATCTCATATTGGCTTTTTAGCCACCAGCGTGCTTGTAACAAATGTGGGTAGAGCCCTTCCTAAATCTTCGTTCACGAAGCCTGGCCATGATGATGGATTGGGAAATACCTAAGGATGTAAGGCCTTGTTTGTATGTAAATCAAGATTGTAAGCTGAGTTTTACACAGCAGAAATTAAGGAATATTTTGTTCAAATAATGAAAATTAAGAAAAGTAATGAATCATAATGTTACAACCTATGAAAATAAGTTACAGTTTAGAAACTGTCTCCATTTCAATAATCATTGATGTTACAAATCCAAAGATAAGTAGACTCATTTTACAAAACTTTTTCATATTGTGCTGTTTCCTGTTCCCAGTTCCTTCTTTCTTGACTTGTATTTCAATTCCATTATTTTCTGCTGCTGCTTTCAAGACCCTAAGCAGAATGAGCCAGTACAGTTTCATAAGCTATTCCCATACTCTCTGCAAATAGAAACCCTCAGACTAGTCCCTCTAAAGCACATCAGGCAATCTCAATCTTGTCCACAATGCACCTTTCACCATGAACCCCATTAAATCCCTCTTTGCCAAGCCTTTTACAAAATATTTGCCTAGTTTGAGTGATTTTCTGTCTGTTTTTGTTAGTTGCCCTTCCTGGATTGCTAATCCTTTTCCCATCAGAAAGTACTTCCTGCAGAAACTCTCACCTTTTATTTGAGCAATTCTTTTTCCATTAGCTTGAAGAGCATCAAGAACCTTCACTATAACATTTCTCCAGCCTGAATAATTTGCTTCCTTTTTGTGAAGAACAAGCAGTTAACAATACTTTGCATGTGAAGGCTTTTTTCTGAAGGATGAATCATACTTCACCACAGTATCATTAGATAAATACTTGTGCTGCTTAGAAATAGATAAAAATAAAACTCTGAAAGTAACCTATACAGCGTAGAGAGGTGAGTCTAAGTTAAAACCCTGGAAAAAGGGATATTTACATCCATCTACAGAATATTTTTCTCTCCCCATTACAATTTTCTGGGTGGTAACCATTCAAAAGAATCTGCCATGACTATCAAAAGGACTTTCAGCTGGCCTTCAGAGAACCAGCCCTATTTCCTTTGCAGAAGATGCAAATAAATAACAAAGTAAAATTAGTACTTTTGACCTCATCATCTGACTTATATGTTAAAAAGCCAGCACTTTTCAGCTATCTCTTATGCATTTATTTTAATTTACAACTGTTGGCTACTTTTCTGTTAGAAGACAATTTTGCTGAGGAGCTCTTGATTCCATAAAAAAACTCCATTTGGAAAAAGCACTATGTGTTTAATACTTTTGCTTGGTCTGTGATAGCAATAGATGCTTAGTGCTGTGAGGAATGAATGATGATGTCATTTCAACTGGTATCTAGCTATTCTAGCTTGGATACAATCTTAGAGTTAAATGTTGAATTCAGGAAATACCAGAGGAGATCTGATTGTGACACCTGTTAAAAAAACCTTTAAGAATAATGCTAGAACAATGCTGACTATTAATATATAACATTTTGCAGCATTGGATAAGCAAACCAGTTTTGAATCTAAAATACCTGTGCACAGGAGCAATGCAATAGAATGCATATAAGTATATATTATCTCCAGGGCAGTTTGTTCTATGGTCAAATAGAAGCATTTTTATTTGTTGGTGTTGTCTGGATGACCATTTCATCAAAGCATTATTATAAATGCCTTCTTTTGAAAAAAACAAGGGCTCAGTGGCTACAACAGGGGAGATATCTTGTTCAGGGGAGATATCTACATTTAATATGACTTTGACTTACAATATTTCACCTCATACATATTTGAGAGGCAAAATCTGGGCTTCACTGAGACCAATGTAAAATTGCCTGCTTACTTCAGCACAGTAAGGACTTTGTCAGAAGCTGTCTATAAATTTCTGTATTATATCCAAAGAAATGGACTTGCTCTGTAATCACAACTATAAAACTTTCAATATACCATTTTGCTAATTATAGAGAGTGATAGTCACTTGATCTGCCATTAGCTATTTAAAGGGCAGGTATCAAATACATGCTAGTTTTCTGTGACTCCTCATAAGACCAGTGTTGAAAGTTCAGGCATGGAGTAGGATTCTCCCCTTTACAAGTTAGGTTCCTAGAGTGGGGTGAATATTTGAGGGTGCTATTTGCTTCCCATTCCTTATGGAAATTGCCTTATGGAAACCCTTTCTGGTTTTACCTTCTTAGGAGCATTTCCCAGGGATGTTATTTCTGCCTTCAACTTCTATCTTTCATTATCAGAGTTCCAGTCATGATAAACCCTCCACTTTGTTTCTCCTACTATTATAATAGTACTATTAATCTGCTACTATTACAAAAGTAAGAGATTAAAAATATGTCTAGTATGTCAGTTGTAACAAACAACAATTTTGCACACGCAGGTTTAGTTGCATTTTCTTTGGGGTTTTTTTTGCATTGTCTTTGGGTTGTTTGCATTTTCTTTGTTTTGCCAATGAAGACCAGTGGAATTTGACAATTTTTTCTTCCCATTTGTCAAACTTTTAGGAGAATGGTAAGAAAAACTATGGAACAATGATTTTCTGCTCTTCAAATTAAATGAAGCCTGCCTTTCCACAAGCACTACCAAACTCGACATATGAGGAGACAGCTTTCCATGCCTTCATGGAAACATGGAAAAATGTATCCATCCTTCTTATGCAGACCTTCTTATGAGGATGAATGACACTTTTTTTCTTTGAGCTTTTTCTCTTTGAGCTTTCTGGACGTGCCTTTAGAAGATGTGTCACCCTCACACCTTGTCATTGCAAGATTTCCCTTGCATTTCCTGACTATGGCAGAAGCTGGAGAAGCTGCTGGAGAAATGTCTGAGCCTTGCTAGTGGGGTCAGATTCCTCCCCCAGAGGAGCCTGCTTAAAGCTTCATAGCATAATTGTCTTGCCACACAAGATGTGGAGTTAATGTCCACCCTGTGCCTTTACTGTTCCTGCCATGAGAGATGTCAGGAAAGGATTAGAGATGAAGAGTTTTGGGAGCTGGTTTGCCTTTCCTTCTACTTTTGGGGAAGTAGGAGACATTGGGCCAGTGGGAGCCCTTGTAGGGCAAGTTATACCCACACACACCAACCAGCACCTCAGCATGATTTGCAGAGCTTCTGAATTCCACAAATAGATTTAAGGTTGTCAGGACTTAGAGCTACAGCATTTCTGGGTGCATGAGAACCAGCACAAGCACAGCTTTATACAAAATCCATAAAAATATTTTCCTGTCCCTATACCAAATAGCAGCTTTGTAGCTGGATAGAATGACGTCTATTCCCACATGGACATAAAATTGACCACTTTTTTTTTTTTAATGCTACATGTTTCTTCTGGCACAGTTAAATATACATGAAAGCATTCATAACTTGATGGTAGTTCAGCCTTGAATCTGGCTAATGGCTTATGCAGGCTTCAAGACTGGTGAGAACTCTGTACTTGATCCTATGAAATTTCTTCATCCTGAGTGATTTCCAAGTAATCCAAGTAATACTAATATGGAGCACTGACTTCATAAGAACAGAAAAACAAAGCATTCCTGTTTCATCAACAGGAAAACAGCATTAGGATTCTAATAAGAAAGGATGGTTTGGCTACAATAGTTTGAATTATTAGCAGTGAATAAATAACTTTTTTCTCCTCTAGTTCTTTTTGTGTATCTAATTCAAATATTTATTCCAATTTCCTCAACTGTTCATGCATTTGTTAGAATTTACAGCATAACTCAGGGCATGCTCTTGGTAATAACACCTGTTTGTCTAAATATATGCAATGTAGGATTCTGTGACTCGACTGTTGGAAGAGAAACAGTATTAATCTGTTCTGAACTCAATTTACACCTGTTCTAGGTCCTACATTGTTCCTTTACCTCTACCCTCTGCCATAAGCTGCTGACATTATATCAGCAATGTTTGTTTTAAAAGTAGTTTGACAAAAACCTAGTGGTTAAAAAAACTCCAAACATTTTCAACTCCAACTTTAACAAATGTTCAAGGAGCATGTAGATGTAAACTGATGGACAAATTGAGAGAGAGGTCACAGTCACTGGAAGGAATTAAAAGGATATGTTACTGACTGTATTCACTAATTTCTAATTCTGGATTGGGTCTACCATTGTTTGTAATCACTAGTTGTGATTCAACAAAGAGTCTTTCCATCTCTTCCTACACCTACAGATATGGATGAACTTATTTCATCCTCAGTTTGACCATCACTACTACTTGCATAAACAAGATGCCAAAAATATAGATCAAATTACCCCCTGCTGGTGGGAGATGTTCTCACTGTGCAAGCACAACCTTTACACCTGCCACAGGGAGGACTGTTTCCCAATTCCATAAGGAATTAGACCCTATGCTTCTCAAAAGACACACAAACTTCTAGGCTGGGCACTACCGCTAGTGAGGACACACAATATTATTAAAAAAAACAAAAACAAACTGAACCCTAAAAACTCCAAGCTGACATTAGTGAGGTTGATTATATGTATTGTTATTAAAGGGAACTTGTTCCATGATTATCCTAAAATAATCTGCTAATTCTCTGATTGTGCTCCTTAATCAGATCTCATAACACTGTTTTAATTAGAGAACAATGCTATTAATCCTAGAATAATGAAACCAAATAATTCAGTAATTGTAGGAGAGTGGCAGATTTATCTGCATTCCTTCTTTAACTTCTGTTTCAAAAATATTCTCAACTTTCAAGCTTGCATATTGCACACTGCTTTTCACTTCTCATTTTGACTTCTCATTTCATTTCCTGTGCACCTCATGAAAAAGGTAATTTTCAAGGAAATAAAAAATAAAGCCAACTACCTTGTTATTACTCTAGTATTTAAAATCTAAAAATGAGACTGAAAACAGAAAAGGAAAGTGAAGAAATAGGATAACAGATAAACATTTTCAAATGGAACCATCTGTTTTCCAAGTAAAATAAAATGAGGATGAAATAAAAAATTGCTAGTGAAAACTTTCCCATCGTTTTGTGTAGCAGCTATCTGTCATCTGTTAAATGTTTCAGTTATAGCTTTTTTCCCTGTTCAATGTTATGCCAAACATAAAGCCTCCATTTGCTGCCTTTTAAAGGCTTGATTATAAGCTATTCTATGAATTCGTGAATTTTCAGGAATAGTCCTAATTACAATGTGTCTCTGTGTATTAACAAGAAATGAAGTGATATTCCTCAAGAGGAAACATTTCCATGCTTTCAAATAACTATATAAATTAGGACAAACACTTAAAGGAAGCAGACTTCTAAACTTCTTTAGTGATTATACATTTTTAAATGGAAGTCCGAGAACAATAGCCTTATGTTGGAGCATTATATCATAACTTATGTATTTGCCACTCTCATGATTTTTATAAAAGTAACACAGCACCTGCTAAGAGAATTGTTCCCACCCTGCTTGGAGGAAACAGCAAAGCATTGCCTGAACAATTCACACAAGAAGAATGTTATTGAGCCATACATTTTAAAAGAACTAGACATTTTAAAACACACCTGTGCCGGCCTTGGGAAACAGCTCATGAGTAACTGCAGTTTTGCTAGCAGCTAATGTGCTTTCTCCAAAGACATGATTTAATGGGAATGCTGAGCTGTTCTCACAGGGACTTCTGCTTCACTTGGGTTTGACCTGTTGGAAACTGAAGATTCATGGGTTTGTACCTACCTCTGTGTAAATCAGGACTATCTCCTTTGAAGTTAGCAGATGTAAAAATCTGGGTGAATAAAGGTGGATCAAGGCCCGGGGCTCTCATCCCTGCCCTGCTGCTTTTATTCAGGTTAGGACTTCAAACATATAATTGCAATATTTTTTTCCTGTCATTTGGGAATGTGGATTGAGGCTGAGCTGGAACAGAAGGGTAAATAGGTGCAGGCTTGTTTTGCAGAGCTGCAGCATGGTGCCAAGGCAAGTAGTGGTGGCAGGTTTCCAGCTGCCCTGTCACTCTGAGTGATCTTTCTCAGCATTGCTCCAGAACTCCCTCTTTTGCTTACCCCATTCCTCCTTCAGGGAGCAGTAATAATGACATTGTTATCACACTGTAGTAAAAGACTTCATGACTTCCTAATACATTGACGTGCTTCTAAACCAGAACTGCCTCAATGCCGATGGTTTTCAAGCCCTTATCTTTCCTATATCACCCTTCGTGAAATATATGTGCCTTTCACCTTCAACTGGTTCCTTACTTAAATCAGGATGAATCCCACCTGGGAAAGTCACATACTTGGTCAATGGCTTAAGCATCACTTCTCACATTGGAGGTGATGTTGCAAAGGTTATGGTTGCAGCTGATGTGTTCAGCAACCCACCAGAGGCACATGACATGGCAGGGTTTGTTAAAATAGGTAACATGATAAAAGATTATATTACTTAGTCTTATTAACATGGTCTGCACTTGAATCAAAAAACCAATTAAAAAAAAATTAAAGACACAGAATATTCCACTCAAAGAGTGGAGTTAATGCAAAAGCCTATCTCAGAAGAAAACACTTGCACCTGCACTGTTCAACTCCCACAGAAATGACAAATCAGTCTGTTCTGGCACAGAGATTTGATTTATGTAGACAGATGCCTTACGGCTCACACTCCAAACCAAGAGTCTCATCCATACTGAAACATTGTTAAGATCATTGTCTCTTAGTCTCTTATTTTTTTTATATGAAAATCAAGTACTAAAGCAAAATTTAGAATGTAAAAAGAGTTTCTTTCATTTCAGGAAGCGCAATAAATACAAATAGCTCAGCATAATCAAGAACATAAACCAGCACTTAGGAGAGAGCAGGACTTTCCTCAATCTGCAGAAGACAAAAACACTGTGCTAATTTCTATATGGGCAACCAACTCAGTAGCACAGGAAAATACTGCATTTTATATCCTTATATGTCACTACACACTCCCACTACTAGAAAGAGCATGTGAAAAGACATCAGAGTTTGTATTACAAGAAAATTGCCAGCACATCACTACGTAAGCAACCTGTGCATATTTTTGTTTATCACCATCTTCCCAAAGCTGCCCCACCAAAGGCCTTCAGGCCAGGTGTGCCCTGGACAGTTACTGAGGTACTGGTGTGCACTGGTGTGAACTTCTTCAGTCCTAAACCAGAAATGAAGACAGTGTTTCCAACTAAAATGAATAGCCTCAGTTTTGGTGATACCCATGAGAGCCAATAGCAATCCTCATTTTATTTTGGAGCATGGGCTTATTTGAAAATTGGGCTGCTGCAACTAAAAGCAGAATCTGGTGACTACTAGAAATCTGCTTTATCAGAATAATTAAGAAAGAAATACTTATACTGTGTGAGATATTAAATAATATTTTAATGAAATCTCCCACAGTCTTTCATAGTGCTATAAATACTGCCCATCTCAAAACAAACTGATTAACGAGCTGACACTTTAATTTGCATTGTCAGTAGTGTCCTGTTGCATTTTCTAACGTGCAAAGAATATAGCGTTTGCAATTATGACATGGGATAAAAACAGATGATGCACGCTGCTGTCTGATGACCTACTATTGTTAATAATGAAGAACATGCATGTGTTTTCACCTGCACTTGCAGATTTCCTGCTTTTCACACTGTACCTAGACCTGAGGGATTTTCATGCTTCCTACTCTTGGGACCCACGGCTCAGTGGGAGTCTTTTTGCTGAGCAGTTGGAAAATGGGACACTCAAAACGGACAAAGAATAAACTCATGGCAGAAAATGCAGCAAGTTTATTGCTCTCTGAGAGCCAACAGTGGGAAACTACAGTGGGCTGAAGACAGTCTACTAAATAATTTATGACACACAGCCCATTTGTGAATTATTTTTTTCTCTATTAGATGTGCATTAACACATGTAAGTCTAAGACATGGAAAATCTTTTCTGGCCTCAGAGAAAAAAGTCCCCCGCCCTTCCATTACCTCAAGCTCAAGACTACTCTGAGCTGCTACTATCTTCTAAAGACATTGTGCTATTGTTTGCTCTAACTCTGCTGAATCCCAACTTGGGTATTAAATACACCTTTGAAACAATCATTATACCAACACAAGTTTTATATACCACATTCATTGCTTGCATTTCAGCAGACTATTCCTCAAAAACCTGCCTTTGTTAAACACAGCATTATACAATGCTACCTCATTCCTAGTCACAAAACTTTCAAAAATAAGGGAAAAACCCTCATCTAAGACCGCATGCTACATTAAAGGACCATATTTTATTTTTATACAAGGATTACTGTTCCCTCAGATTTCAGTTCATTACTATGGACCATGCAAAATGCCACAGACCACAGAAGCTACATTTTCAAATTAATGTTTTTATTGATTAATCAGGCATTGAATCAAGTATTGCAAAATAAACAGATTTTGTTTGTTAAAAAATGTCCAGAAGAACACCATTCATAGCAAACTTGTTTCCTCATCATCGTACAGAATATGAAATTGTTCAAGAAACAAGCAAAAAAGGAATACCTGACTAATTGCTGTCGCTTTGTCTGTGTATATACGTATGTATGCATATACACCATATTTGTGCATATACTGGTGTGTATACCCATACATATGTGTAAATACATACACAAACATATATGCACAACAAGTACTGACTGAGTTAATAGGCCATTGAAGAAATGTGGTTTAGCTCCAAATGAAATGTTCTGTGTTAAAATAAAAATGATTCAGCAAGGCCTGTAGATAACAGACCATTCTTCCTCCATTGGCCAAAACCCTGATCTGTCTTTAGAATCACGGCCTGTCTTTACAATGAAAATACGTGAGATCATTTGGGACCTTTCCAAATTCATGGTATTGCTTCCATCCAGCTCAATCTCTGCGAACATTGTATAGCTAAACACTGGAGAGTGTTTTCAGTTTATCCACTCCTGAAATCAGCTTCTAGATTTAATGTTTGTGGCAAAAGAGAAGATACATAGTCTTGCTACATGTAATTTGCTAATATGCCTTTTCCTTTTAGGCAGAAACTTGGCAATAAGCCTAGATTAAAACTCCTTTCTTCATGTATATTTTTATCACTGCTTTGCATCAGTCATCTCCTGTCAACTCATTTTACAAAAATTTTCATGCCATCTCAGCTACCTCCCAAACATCCCAGGTCAGATCCTCTGGGCAGTGTATATCAGATTGTATCAGTAACATTGTATTCAATTGTAAAATGCAATGTTTGGGGACTTATTTACTTTTTAATTTTTGGGTACACATTTCTTGATTATTAAAGACAGTATGATAAATACTGCAGTTCACAATGTGTACACGTTTTGTCTTATTTATGTCTACTCTGGAAAGATCAGTGGCTCCTGCCTGTGAACAATGGGATGCTGCCCAGCTCAAAGCCCTGGTACCAGCAATGTACTGCCAGATTTTTCTCTATTTAATTCAGCAGTTATCATGACACATAAAGGGAAATCAAAGGAACATGGACAGGCACTTATTTTCTACTAAAAAAAAGGAAAAAAACCAGATAGGCATGTACATATTCCTCATCCTGCTCATAAATTTTTTTATATCAGAAGGCAAATTGTAATATAGTCTTTTACTGGGAGAATCAGTATTTTAAAAATCTGAAGCTGAGCTTGGAACCATTTTATTTTGGACCCATTAGTGAACAAAGTGCATTAAGGCATCTTTTCCAAAAGACACCAAAAGCATGGTTATAAATTACCGAGCAAATCTTTTCTTAAAGCTGATATTACATTTACCCTTTCTCTACACAGGCAGATTCTAACCACTTGCATAGTAACAACAAAACACTACAGGAAAACCATTCTTTTAAAGCTGTCATATGCCTCAAACATCTCCCTAAATGAATATTTATAAGCATTGCAGTAATTACAAAGGATTTCTATTCTGTAGAAGGGAAACAGGAAAAAATGTACCTGATTCAGCTTTGAGATAAAGTACATACAACCTCTACTGCCTTCACGGAAGCTCATCTACCAACACTAGGATGAATGTCAGGTCTGCCCATGCAGATTCCTACTGCTGCTGAAAGCTTGCTCTTTACTCCTCATTCACAAAGAGAATTGTGCTTTCCCAAACAACCCAGGACAATAACTATGAGCACACTCCAGCTGCATTGTTTCTCCATACAGCACATGTAAAACAGACTTCCTTGCTTTGTTATAGACACTATACAGTGTATGACAGTGAAACATTTGTATTTAATTTAAAATCAATGGTAAAGTGGTGCAAGTCTCACTTCCGAGTTGTTGGCTGGGCTTGCTATGTTGAACCTTGTAAAATCAGCAATAAGCATTCACATGTCTACCATCAGAACCGTGACATTTTCTATTACAATCAATCCTTAAATGATGCCGTGCTTTATCAAATTAGTCTACAGTCAGACCTTGGATTGGCTGCTCCTCTCCAGTGTTGCTGATTCTCAGAGATGGTATCAGTCTTCCACATCCTCAGTGATTCTATAATATTTCCCAAAGACGAAAGCAAAGCACTGGTAGATGGGAATGTTGCCATCAATAAAATAAATCACCAGATGATTTATCCACTCACATTTCTAGGAGATATTCCACATGTTTTTTATGAACTGAGAGAGCACTGCCCTGTGAACAGAAGTAAATTAAACTTTATTCTTTTGCTGTGTTGGCTGGCTCTCTTTTTTGTTTCTGTTCTTTTGGTCTGCACACTTCCATGTGCAAAGTAGAAATTGGGAGATCTCACACTCAATAAGGCTGGCAATGAGACCACTAATGTTGGTACGAGTAGAACCTGCAGTATACTGACTTGTCCACTGCGCAGTTTTCATCCTTCTGATTTCCTGCTTTTATCCACTGTAAAATAAAATTATTCAAAAGGCTGATGAAACTTTAATTAATAGGGTCATCAATGTGCAGGAAAAAAAAAAGTAATTTTCCAGGTGTCCAAACCAGGCTTTCACTTCTGTTTTGTTTTTTTTTTTTTATTTTTATAAATAATTTATAAATCTTCCAGTAAGAGACTAAATACAAAACCAACCAAACAAAACCAACTGCAAAAGAAAGTTCCAAGATATTTTTAAAGCCACCTCTTGTTCTTCCTTACAGAGTACACAGAAAGAGATATTCTCTCCTTTTCAGTTTTGGCCAAATTTGTCAGCGATGGCCAGGATGCCACATAGGTCCACCAGCTCCGGGTAAGCTCCTGCAGGCAGCTGCCTGGCCACCCTGGGAAGATGTGTTGTCCTACCTTTTGGCTTTTAGCAGTCATGCGAGCTGCTCCGAGGAGTCCAGGTGGTCAGGGATAGGCAAGCCAGTTATAATGGTCAAACACTTGTTCCACACTGTGAACGTGGGGCACACTGGCTGCCCAAAAGTAATGTCAAAAGTGTAAAGGTGTAAGGAGTTCAAAGCATCGTAAAAAGCAAGGGAGCCGTTGTCATAGTCCAGCAAAATCCCGACCCGCCGGAGGTGAGGGGCAGGCTCGATGGGGATTTCTTTGCTGTTGTGCCGCACCACCCACGTGTTATTGCAGCGGCAAAGCACCCAGGAGGCAGAATTCTTTCCGATCCACTCGTGCTTCGGTGCTGACTTGTAGGAAATACCAATAGCATACCTGCAAAAGAAAAGAACATCTCAAGGAAACAAATGCTTCCAGCCATGTCAGTCTCTCTGTGAAGTCAAATGTTAGCCCAGAGGACTCACTGGAATGCCTCGGCCTCTTACTGCTGCTGGTTTATGTTCTCGTTAAGTGATGTTTCACCACAATACCTGCACAGGCTTAATTAATGTTTTTCTTTGTCTCTCTTTTGGGTTTGAGAGATCAGGGAAACTCATTGTATTGTTTCTAGTTTCGCAGCTATGGCAATTTTTGTGAGTGCTTACCTCTGGTATTCAAAAGGAAGATTGTTGAGTACTCAGCAGCTGAGAGTGGTCTAGTTACCATGGTGGTAGTGGATCAAGGGTTGGACTTGATAATCTCAGAGATCCCTTCCAACCTGGTTGGTTCTATGATTCTATGATTCTATGAAATCACTGGCCCCAAATTTCCATTTCCAACAGATGAATGCAGAGGAATTAACTGATTTTAAAGTACACTGCTGACTGTCAGCTAATCTGACCTCTCCTTGCTCCTTTTATATATGGCCCAGAAGAAGGCATGCAAGAGTAAACATCAAGGACACATTAAAAAAAACCATTTTGCGATTTTCAAAAATGTTTTACCAGATGCTGGTGCAGTTTTCAGATTCAAATGAGCATTTTTGAGACTGGGTTTCTGGCCAAGTGAAGCAATATAGGTGAAGAGATTTGCTCTGGAAACCATAATTTATGGCAAGATGTGCAGGATAAAAGGGTTGTGAAAATGTTCTCATTAATGGACACTGAGGACAAATACCTGATTTGTCATATATAACAGAAATTTCAAAGTTCCTCACATTTTAGAGACACTGCAGTATTTGTTGGGATTTCAACCAACAGAGATTAATGTGCCATAAGTTACTTTTTTTCCGTTTCTTAGCACTGACACAGACAAACAGTATTTTTCTTGTTTGAGACAGCGGGCAATACCTGAAGACCTTGCTGATTTTTCCATTCCACTAACCTTCATCATGATGCCTTTGAATACCAAAGGATAACATCTCTTCCACTGACTAAAGGCCTCTGGAAATCTGCCCTTGTACGACATAGAGGATCATTCAGAAGTGGAGGAAAGCACTCTTCTATTTCCTTCCCCTTGCTTCATACCCTGGGGCACAGACCTACAGCTCTGCTGCTCCACATCCCCTCCTCAGAAGCAAATCCGATCTCTGTCCCTGTGGAACTGGATCATCAGACTGTCCTCATTTTTATTTATTTTTTCTTACTGAAGGACATGGAAATCTTTCACGTTTAGTAGAGAAATGATCACATTTACAAAGTTCACTCTCAAAATGTACTGTACATGGGTTCAAAAAAACAATCATTCCCAGACATGGAGTAAAACTCCTGTGAAGACTGCTAAATATAAAGATGTTTAATGTGACAGATTTAGTTCCAGAGTCCAAAAGCACTGGAGATTGGGAAAATAGTCTGACAAACTATGTGAAAATATATGCTTGGCCTGCTCTCATACTCTTCCCCATGTCTCTGCTACTGGTCTCTATCACAGAAACTATGCCAGCTTATGCATGGTGTGAACTAGTGCTTTTTTCACATATATTTTTATATACATACCATGTACTCCCGCTTATAACCACTTCCCAGTAATGCCGCCCGCTGTCAATGAACACGTTGCCAGCTACTCCATAGCTCCCTTGGCTTGTGAATCGCTCTGGTGTGTGACTCTTTTTGGAGGATGTTTCATCGCGTTCCACCGTCAAGTTATCATGAGACACTTTCAATTTTCTATGAGCAGATTTGGGGTCCAGTTTAAACGGCTGACCTAGAGACGCAGAGGCAAAGATGACTTGGCTTTGATTTTGAAAAGGAGAGTGGATTAGTGAACCTCTAAGAAGCCTGCAAGATTACATAACCATATTAATTTCCTCCTCTCAAGTGTTCTTGAGATAGACTAACCTATTCTGATCCCTGCAATAGCTCGTTTGCATTGCATTGTCAGTTTACTGTCAATTTCTTTGTGCACTGACTTCCCCGCATCGATAATCCCTGAAAAGAGCCCTGCATAATCATCATGTCCTTTATCTCTGACCCAGAGGTAACCACAATATTCTGATTCTTGCATGTAATTGAAACCAATATACATGCTAATAATGGTCTGAGGGTTGCTTTTTTTTCAGAGCATATTAGATTTACAATAAATTGTGTTCAATTAATTCTTTAGGGATAGGGCTCCGTAATAACATCTTCATTATTCCTACAAAAAGTATGATTTCAAATCCCACAAAATGAGTTTAAAAATAAGAAGAAACACTAGCATTGTCTCTTCATTCATTCACTCACAGCTTTACTTATAACAAGCACAGTCAACAATTCAGGATTGCTTTGGAAGGATGCCCATGTGGTATTGGATACTGTGCATTAAAAGAAGGAAGTGAACTGTAACTTGGTCCAAATAATATGGTGTAATAACATTATTGAGGCTGTTGCTTTTGGCAAGTATCTTGGGCTGTAGCACAAGATTTGTAGACAATAACCGGAAGCTATTTGGTAAACTGAACCCTCTAGATATATAAAGCCCACCACAATTCTGACAGGCTTGCTTATTGTGTCAGAAGGCAGAAAGATCATTTACCTCCGCCAGGAGACAACCAGAAAAGTATGACTCCACAAGTAATCCAGCAAAGCACTTTCCCCTTCTTACTCTCTTTTATTTCAAGGGGAAAGACATGTAATTGGAAGATTTGATGACATGCACAGAAAATGAAAACGAGCACTCTCATGAAGTCTGTGTGAGGCATTGGCACATGTACTTCAAGTAAGATGTAAATTGTTCAGGGTTATCTACTTTTGCAATGTGCATTTAATTATGTATTATGACTAAATATAAAATAAACCCATTGGAAAGTATCTGGGGGCTGTTTCTTACCACCTGATAGCAGTAACATATGTACGGCCTGCCTCTCTGACTGGTTAGTAGCCTTTGTGTGCTGAAGCAGTATCTGAAGGATGTCTCTCTGTATTGAATTGTGTCTAGTCACATTGCACAGGTTAATAGCAGAAAGGGAGAAATCAGAAAGCTGTACATGCCATTCTCTTCAGTATTGTTCTTGTAACATTCAGTATTGCCCCTCTTCAAGCACCCCCCTACAATAAGCAGGTTTCAGAGGATGCATAAATCCCAGTGTTTTCTTTCCAGCCCTCAGAGCTGCCCACGATGACTACACGACTGAGATGTTGGCTGAGACACAAGAAGAAAACAGCTGAAAACGAGTCTTAAAATTGTTATTCTACATCTGCTATTAATTTGTATAACCATTGTTTTTTTGAAGTGGGATCTCTGACTACTCTACCACCTTGCTGAACTCCATAAAAAGCTGAGGCAGATAAAGCTAAGAAGTTTTCCAATGTCCTAAAAAGATATAATTTTGGTGGATAAAATTAGACTAGAAATTATCTTCTGAACACTACACCAAAATAAAAGGTTTTCTTGCAAACATAAGAAAAGCTTTTGCTTTGTAGAGGTAAAAGAATAGAGAGGATATTAAAACAAATTCACAAAAGAGTATTTTCAACCATTTGACATGTGATGGTTCTGTTCCTATGTGGTATTTCCAGTGACCAAACAACAGATGCATCTCCCCCCCCCAAAAAAAAAGGATTTTCTGCACTACCGAAGCCTCTGGCATTCTCGAATTGAGTTAAAGAAGTGGCTTTTATTGTGGGAAGCACTTTAAACAAGTTAAACTGCTCTGTGCTCTTGTATCTTCTTCCTTCCTAAAAAGGAAGGCCAGAAAGAATGCATGCATGCTGGATCTCACATTACTCACTGTTTGTCTTGAGTTTGCCAGGCTCGCTGCTCCTGCTGCCTGCCTGATTAATGGCCTTAACAATGAAGATGTACTTAGTGCCACTCTGTAACCCGTGCACCGTGTAGTGGTTTTGTTTGATATTAGGAACAATCATCCAGCTGTCGGCTGAGTTGCATAAACCTGCAATTTCAAACAGAGCACATCAGTCATAACACACTAAACACTTTGTAACAGAGGGACATTTAGAGCATTCCCAGGAACCCAACGACCAATATGAATTTTGCTTCTATACCTTTTAAAATGTTATTACATTTAGTGAGCCACTACTTAATGCCACTAACTCATTTCATCAACCCTCAGCCATGGTACCTTTTAAGTTCCTGCTATGTGAAGTCAACCATAAAAAATGGGCATTTAAGAAATGTCTCAGTGGAGATACTAGCAGTCCGAGATTTTTCATATCCCAGCACAAGGAATTCTTTATTGCTTAAGAGTTAGAGGATTATGACGATCCCATCAATCTACTGTTTGGATTAATGAACTCAGTTTAAGCCTCAGAAAACTAACGTAAGCAATAAAGCCAGGAAGGCTGGGGAGGCACCTTTGCTGACAGTCGCCAGGTATGCATTCTTCAGAACCTGAAGCAAATCATGGGAAGCCAAACAGGGTAGAGAATGGTCTTCAGAGAAAGCTTTGATTCTTACATGTCAGACTTTGCTAGAAAATAATCTCAGCCAGTAAATTTATTGGACACAACTTTTTGATTTATGTCCTCGTGCTGAGATGCCAGCTGGGAAAGATCTGGTAAATTTTACATTTATAAAAGTTCTTGGGTACATTTGATGACAACCATAGAAGTATAATATATAGGAATTAAGTAAAATAAGGGAGTAGCAATATCATAAACCAGGAAAATACTCCATTAAAATTAACTTATTAATTGACATACATTTTTTCCTACTGTGGTATAACTGCATTGGCAGTCAATCACCCATATTACTTATTCTACATTTGGAACAGCTCCTGGTCTAATGGATCCCAAGTCTTATAGCTCTCATATTATAAATGTTTACATAAATAAAAAATTTAACATTCATGAAGAGTATATATATTCACAACCTTTTACATGGTTACACAGCTAGAAAAAGATAGATCCAGGTGGAAGTGTACGCATGTGTGTACATATGCAAGTCTGGAAAACTTAATAGAGAAATGCTTGACTGGATTAGGAACCTGACAGACTTCTTGGTCTCTGCCTTTACTGCGCATAGAATATGTTATGAAAGCTGTTGTTGTTATTTAAAGACAGTTTCACCTTTTGATTAATGTTTTACCAGTAAGTAGTAAAGAGAACTCAGTAGTAATTTCAGCTCTGCATATCAGACAATACAAAACCTTTATGTAAAATAAAATTTAAAAGGCTAATGAATACAAAACTTGAAAGAAACAGACCTGTGATACAGGTCTATGAGTCTGTGACTCATAGACAATTCATAAGCATACTGCAAGATTCCTTCCTAATTTGGGATGTGTTCTTCATAAGAAAATACCATTAGAAACAGAATTCAAATTCCAAATATCAATCTAAGAATAATGAAGCTTGTGTGTCAAAATTCCCTTACATTACAAAGCATCCTCAAGAGGCAGGCAGATATTCATCCTGCTGTGCAAATGGGTAACTGCAGCACAGTTTCAAGTTGGATTCATATTATCTTGCCATCTAATGACGAGCTATGATGCCTAACCTATTTTTCTGGATTCTGAGCTGAGGCAGAATTCAGTAACAAGTTTCTTTCACTTCTCCACATGTGAACATCCTACCAGCCACAAGTACCTCTCTTTTCTTGTCCACAGAAGAAGCCTGGGTGACTATCATAGGTGAGATCCCTAACTTCAGCTGTCTAAAATCATGTGACATGAGTCACTCTCCTTCATCACCCCGATTTGAAGTCTGGAAGCCTAAGCCCCTGGTTGAACTCACATAAGGGTTGTGGCCTTTGGACCATGATTTACCAGAATGACAGCATTTCTTTGTTGCAGTTTCTTAGTGTATAGTGGGTGGAAAAAAAAGAATTCTAGTGTGTTCCTTATGCACCAACCAGTGAGCATCCAAGTGACATGTAGTAACATCTGACTACACTTAGCCTCCCTAAATATCAGCTACAAGAGATTCCAACTGTTTGTTATACGTGAATAGAAGCAGCACAGAAAAGCAACCTTGCAGCACTGCTTTTCTCAAGACTATTGAAAAACTAGGTCATATAGAGCAATCATCTGCCTTCCTCATGAAGAAAAAGAACCCAGTGTTATCCTCATGGTAACCCCAGTTGGGTCTGGTAGTAAACCGCTTGTAGCAACACCAGTCCATGTCTTCTTTCACTAAGCCATAAACTCTGAATCTTATCTATTTTCTTAGGCTGTGTGTGAATGGGTTTCTTAAGCGGAAGAAAGGAAGCAAAAATACCAGCTTCCTGACATATTTCACTGACTGCTCAGAGGAAACCTCATCTTTCCCCAGTTTGCCATGGGTATTAGAGTACAGGCCCACTTGTTCCGTAGCTAAACTACCACAATGATTTTGCATTGAGACCGTTCCTTACTGGACTCATAGGTACTATTGCAAAAAAGTATTAAGTTCAAATAAAACAAAATGAAGCACTGGATTTTAGATGAAGTGCAGGATGACCAAAGAATCCTTAACTAAGATGCCTCTGATGGGTTAACAAATAACATATGACAGTAAGTGGGATGGATACCGACAGTAATTCTAGAAATGTCTTCTCCACCCACAACCACACTTTGAAAGCAAAGTTCTATGATATACATAAGCCATATATAAACTAACCCTTATGCAGACACAGAAATGCCTAGATTTTTGCTAACTCATGTCTAAACTAGATTTGTATTAGTCATTACTACTCTCTAATGGGCACATTTTTCAGGCTTGCATTACACTTTTTATGATACCCCCCAGAGACTAATTGCTCCTTAATGAAGTATAAAATTTTGACCTAAATAAGTATATGAAGGACTGTAAAGGTACTGTTGCAGTGCTATGAATCTCCTCTTAAGTTTATGCTCTCCTCCTGTGTATGTGGATTTATATGTAGCCAATAATCAATAAGGACCTTATGTATTTAAACTCTCTGCACAGTCAATAGAGAGAGTTAGGAACCCTCCCTTTAACTTATGTTCCAGGGGAATGTTCTATTCTCTTTGATAACAGAAGATACTCTGGGTTTCTTTTCTTCATTTTTCCAGTCTTAGGCATCCCAGACTACTGGTGTACAATGAATGTTGGATGTGCAGCGACTGACTTGGTTACTTTGCTTGACAAACCTTGCTGTCTCAACAAGCTCAGCTCTTGCCTATGCATCAAGGGGCTCATGATATGTCCTTGTGCTTCCTGACTGTGAGATACTTGATAACAGGCTTGAAATTGTACTTTGAATCAAAAATCTTAGGAATGAAGTTTTGACGATGCCAAACTACAAGTCCAAACTCCTTCAAAATGGAGAATAGTTACCAGTGGCAGCCAATTTAAGCTTTTAAGTATGAAAGAATAATTTGTCACTGCATCAAAAGAATCTGTCTCCAGATATGCCCTGTCAGGACAGCCTTTCTTCTCTGAATACAAAAGAATATGATTAAGAGAGCTCAGGGAAATGAGCAAGCAGCCTGGTCACACTGGCATTTCGGATCAGCGTTTGCCCTCTCAGCTCCCTGCTGGTGGCAGCAGGTGAAGTGGAAAAGGACACATCTCTTCACTGGAGCAGCAGCAGGAGCTAAGGGTCTCCTATTGTACCCAATCCTAATCCAGGCTACATTCAGGTTTCTTGTTTCAAAAACCCAGGGCTTTTTACAGGGCTACACAGATGGTAAAACAATGTATTTTAAAACTGTAGCCTAACAAAAATGTAGAGAATTTAAATTACATCCTGGAATGGTGCAGTGAGCACAGTGATGTCCGTACAGGATATATGAGTTTTTAAAACAAGTTTCTCAGAGTCTGGAGATAATAATTTGTAAAGATATTTCCCTGGTGTTGGTTGTTGATGTAATTTAAAAAACAGATGGGAAAAATCACAGAGTGTAAATCCTCCTAAAATTTACACTGGTAGATTTTAATAAAAGATATCTTCTTGAAAACTGGAAGAGGAGCACCAAAGTCATGGGAAGGCTATTTAATCGCTTGAGCATTTTAATTTTTTTAAAATGCTTTGAATAAAAATTATTTTCAAGAAGCAGTTTTCCTGGTTTTATCCCAAATTTGCTTTTGTGTGATTAAAAAATATTAAAATCTTCTGTATAAATCTGAAGACTGTAAGGAATATATTTTTAATTAAACAAAACTTCCAGAAAGAGACAAAAGTTAGAATATTAAAAAATTGATAGGTGAATCATAAATTCACTGTTTTTCATGAAAGCTTGGGCTCCTAATTGTCTTGGATCCTTCAAAAATTCTTATCCTGTCTCATAGCAAAAGGAGTCATGTAACAGTGAAAAGGTTCTGACAATAGTACACTGTATCCTTAAGTTTTGTAATTAGACTATATAACTAATTAACCCTGATTCCCTTTACCACCAAGAGAGAATTATTTTTTTGTTAAAAAAAAGAGACACATTTTTCGTGGACATCTTGTATCAGAGCTAGAAAAAAATGGGTGTTTAAATTTGAACCCTCCTGAAGCACATTATAGCAAATATGTTAAAAAAGGTATACTCAATGAATACTTGAAAATTTATTGAAACGGGATAATGAAGTCATAATGCATGTTAGCTAGCTAGTGACAAAGTAATTTTAAAAGCCTTTACCATATTCAGATTGCAGGTGATTTAGCTGCATCTCAGAAATGCAAATGTCCAAATGGTATAACTCTGAGAACAACTGCTTTAGTTAAAGCCTGCTTAATCTAAAGTTCCATACTGCTCTTATGCACAGAACAGAGCTGCCAAGCGTTGAATAGCCAAGCAGTTTGGCCACATTTGGAAATAATCTTTCCTGTATGAAATAGGATTCAAATGAAATACTCTATTTGGACTTTTTCCATCAAATGTTAACTTTCCAATTTTTCAGTTAATAAAAAAGAATATAGTTGATTATGTTGGATAGAAAATATACTAGAAAAACATAGCATTACTTGTTTTTGTTACTGAATTCTTAGCAATCTCTGAATGATATATGCCTCTGGTGGGGGAAATATACTGAGGACTGGAAAGTGCAGTCAGGCTGGCTATGTGGTTTAAGAAACAGATTCTAAAATAACAGCCTCCATTAGCACGGTAGGTGGATATGTATGCAAAGTGATTCCTACTGTCTCGGGGGAAAAAGGTTGTTGGTTTAATGCAGTACTCTAGCTACTCCCTGGTGACTAATTCATAGCCACAAAAACACAGAACTGAAGGCAGTCTATGAACCTGTTTACATTATCTGCTAGAGGCAACATGCAATACTAATGGAAACTTTTTGGGATACGACAGAGAAATAAAAATATAGTTACATGCAAAAGCATGCAAATGCCATACATAGGAAGAAATGTGTGCTAACCCAAAGTCTATTTCATTACAACAGGATTAAAAAAAAATCACCTAGCTTCAGTTCATCAAAACATGAAGGTTGCAGTGGCAGCAGCTCTCTGTGTTCAATGGAGCTAATAAGGTACACTCCAATATTCTAAGAACAATCTTGGAAAGCCATTTATAATAAGTGCTGGGAGATTAGATCCTTCTTCAGGACAAAGAATAGAATGCAACAAAGTCAATAAACATCCAGGCAGTGTTCTGAGTAAAATCAGGATAGGATTGACAGGACAAGAAGAAATGGCCTCAAGTTGCCCCAGGGGAGGTTTAGAATAGATATTAGGAAAAATTTCTTCATGTAAAGGCCCAGGGAAATGGTTGAGTCACCATCCCTGGAGGTGTTTAAAAGACATGCCAATGTGGTACTTAGGGACATGGTTTAGTGGTGCACTTGACAGTGTTAAGTTAATGGTTGGACTCAATGATCTTACAAGTCTTTTCCAGCCTAAGTGATTCCATTATCATTCTATGATGTTAGTGGGCAAATCTCCAGTACCAGTGTAAGTTGGAACGAACTGGGAGAGTCTCACATGTTAGAAACCTGGGCAGATCTATAGCAGTTAGACTTGGTGGGAACATCATCATTGGAGGTGTTCAAGTCTATATTAAATAACGAGATTTAAAAAAAAGGTTTATGACATTTAGAAAGGCCTTCCACATATACTTCTATATGCATGTGTTTAATTTTGGTTAACATTATAGCTCTCAATTAAATTGAATGTAACAACCAGGATATTTGCTAAGAGATATCTGCACTGAAAAAGAGAAAAAGAAAAAAAAAGTACCAGTTCTTTAACCTTGTTCTACCTTCATTTAAGGTCTACAGAGCATTTTGTAAACAAAGTTTCTTACAGTGTTAATTTGTTTTCTCTTCAAATTTTTAATTACACCATTTTTACAACGTGTTAAAGTGAAAGTTCAGACTTCACACTAAGCACTTCATGCTATGCTTGAAAATTATATTGCATCCCTGAAAGCAGACTAATTGATACATGTTTTACAGATCAAAGCTTTCATCTCCACATGGGAAACCTAAAATACAGCCTAAATATGAAATATCTTGTTATTTATTCCCTAGTAAGCAAAGAGTAAAACCCTACATCACAAAAGTATGGAAATGGCACACCTTTTGCTGCTGTCATACAGTGCCAATAATTGACTTGTCTAGCATAAATCCACAGACAAAAATGGGTTAGAAAACAAGGGAAGTACTGTTGTATCATTAAGTTGTCTCTGCTTAGTAGTGATTAATCAGTGAAGATTTTCCTTCCTTATATACCTTGCTTCAATTTGTTCAAAATTACTACTAGACTTTTCCCTTATCCAGCTTGCTCAGATGTAGGAGTATGTGTTGAAGTTTACTTGGTCTTTCCAGCAATCTTAAATTTTACTGTGTGTTCTTCAAAATCAGGCTGTCAAGGGAAATACTAAATGGAGATTTTGTCAAAACATTAATCAGATTTTCAATAATCTAGTTTATTTTTCAGTCAATCCTGAATACTATAATACGTTCACAGTATGGTACTTAAAAAAGGTTATTAAAATGCCAGCACATGAATTCTCGGATATCTTTTCATATGGTTTGGAAAACAAACTCCTTGTTAGCGATGGAGAAAATGAGGTGAACACAGCAGCAGAGGAGTCAGTGCGAGAGTTTGGCTCAGTACTGAAAACTGGCATAGACCATACCATTTTTTCCACTGACATAAAGCATGTAAGCATGTCCACAGCACAGACTTTCACCAAAGTATTTCAACAAATTTTCCAAGAAGAAAAACACTTCTGCACTGGCTCAGAACTAACCCTACCTAGCTCAGTGTGGGGCCAGGGCATTTGATGTGGACAAAGGTGAGGGCATAGGAGGATGTTAAGGAACCAAGAAAGCACACAGTAACCATTTTTCACCATGGTCTCCCGGGTCTCAAGAGTTTACAGCTCTGGGACTTCCTGAGCCAGGAGGAAGCCTCTGCACTTCATTGTGCTCAGTGGACTTTTCTTGCATGATCCGTCCAGGCATCTCTTGAACTCAAAAACGCAACAACCCTCTGTGGCAGTGAGTTCCTAGTCTACATACACACTGACTAAACGAACTCCACCTTTAGATTGATTTGATTAATTTCATAATCCTTGTTTCTTAAAGCAAGTATGTGTCAGCTAGCGGTATTCCCATTAAAAGGGAAAAGGAAGAAACTGAATGACTTCTTGTCCTAGTTAGGACAACTGAGACCAGTTCATCAGGGTATGGGTGTAACCCAAAACTGTGTATTCTATAGCCTTCCATGCCATTTCCCAGAAACTGTTATCAATGAACCATTTACACCATCTGCCCATAGAGCCTGACTCCTCAGGCTATAAACTAGGTGTTAAGAGGCCTGTGAGATAGGAGGATGCTCCTGTCCTCACACCCTTTGTGGAACTCCCCGCCCTGAGGGAAGTGCTGAGCATTCCTGCCTGAACTGCAGGATATATAATCTTGGAGTCTTGGAACATTTTGAACCACTCTGTGGGATCCAGAGAAGGACTGCGGCTCATCGCTCTCAAACAGACTTGGACCACCACCCTATACTGGACTCCAATCACCACTTTTGACCAGACTGCAACAGCTCTTCCCCCAGCATCTCACTGCAATCACCACTTTTGACCAGACTGCAACAGCTCTCCCACCAGCAGGTTCTTCCCCTCTCCCCTTACTTTGGACTCAAGCGGGGCCCAAGGAACACCACTTTGTTCATGCCCCAGGGTACTGGGTTATACATTTGGGTTTTGTGGGTTAAGACCAATTGTTTGTTTGTATGATTGTACTTACTGTATTATTGTAGTAAATTGTTATTCTGACTTATAATCTCTCCTTTGAGTTGAGTTCATTTCCCCTGCTGGTTAACTCTTAAACCAGCACACTTCTCCAAATTCATAGTCAATGACCCCAGTGATCGCAGAACTCTGAACCAGAAGTGTCATCTTCCTGACCAAAGATTAGACAGTACTTTTTTCTTAGAGGAATAATTATTTAACAATTAAAAATCCAAGGAATAGTCAGTAAATTTTGTCATTAAAGAAAATCACAGTTTCAAAATATAGTGTATTTGATAAAAAATGTGCTATACTACAAAGTAGACAATGTTTGTTAATGTCATTATAAGTCAGAAAAGTTATAATATTAATTGTTGTTCCATTGATGTAAGCATTGATGTGTTCTGACCTAGCCTTTAGCACACTAATTGAGACCTGTGCTTTGTAGTCATGAAGACAATAAAAATCAGAGGAAGGCCTTAATCAGTATTTCTGACAAGGGTCAAGTTGTCAAGTTTATCTAAATGACAAGGGGGCTGCAGTGCTACCTATTGACCAGGCTCCCAAATGCCTGATTAGTGCAGACAATGGATCTGAGGTCTTTGAACCTGCTACATCTGCAACAAGGGACTTAGGATGCAAGAGACAAGTCCTGCTATCATAGACAATACTTATGCCTTTGGGAATATGACCTGGGTTTAGTCTTTGAAAGCTCCCAATATATGGCATTCCCAGAAAAGACACAAGAAATTTTAAGTGAATTAATTCTGAATTTTAAAACCTTTTAAAAACATTATTGGTTTGGATTTAAAATTGTGGCTTTAAATCTTTCTAGAAAACATTTTTTCCTTTTTGTTCTTGATATAGGAGTACATTTATATTTAAAGGCACTTGGTTTACAGAGAAACCGTAAGGAAACAGAACTACAAAAGAGAAGATTTATACTTACTAACAACATTAGCTTGTCCAGTGAAGATGGTGTACTGCAGCTCGTAAGAGACCACGCTGAACTCATCATCTGATGTCCAGTGGACAGTAATGGTGTCATATGAAGCTGTACAGAGCTCTTCTCGAATGGTGGGTGGGTTGGGAGCTGGGAGATACAACAGAGGAGGCTTACTGACACAATCAGTAAAGAATTTCCCCTCTCACCTGAGACTTAGGGGATGCAACTGAGGCATGAATTTGCAGCGATATCATCTAACAGACTTTTCAGCAATGGTTTTTTAATTTCAGTGCTAACTTTGATTATAAACAAACTGTTGGAAAAGAGTTCTTGCTATCAAAAACTCCAGATTTTGAAAATTATTTGTATTAAAGTAGCTTTAGTTTCAGATGCCCTAGAACAAGTGATGTGTTGTTGGTCACATTAAACTGTGATTAAATGGGTACAATTGATATGTTACTTTTTCTGGGATTGCTCTGACCATTGTACCAAAATTACCAAAGTTTCATTGATGCGTATCAAGAGGGAGAGTCAACACTCTTCTGAGCTGACTTGAAAGCGGTGTTTGGCTAACCTATCTTACCAGAGATTTGCTCAAGTGGTATTTAAAAAATACAATTTTAGGGAAGCTCCAAACACTCATACTTTCATGCTCAATTTTCTACTCTCTTTTTAAAGAGCTATTTAAATACGTGAAACTTGAAGCAAACTCCTTAGGTCTAAATTTTCCTTGTTTGCAGTCTTTACAAAGCCAAACACCTAAATAAGAAAGAAGTGAGTCTCTCTTTCAAAGACTGGTGAATCTTCCTCATTCTTATCTTAGTGGGAGCTTCATTACTAACCATCTTCTCTACAAGACACATTATGAAAAAAAAATAAAAATTCTTGTGCTCAATAGTGTTTCTCCCAACTGTCACAGAGAGAAGAAGGGGGGCACTCAAGCTGAAACAACCAAAATATGCCTGTATTAAAGGAAAAGGAAGTCAGCTCTGACTGTTTCGTTTTGAGTTTTTTTTGTTGTTGTTGTTTTTTTGTTTGTTTGTTTGTTTTTGTTTTGTTTTGTTTTTGGTTTGATTTGGTTTCGTTTTTGTTTTTGTTTTTTTTCTGTCAGGTCTTTAACCTCTATGAGTAACAAATAATGGCCTCTAAAAAAGTCTCTCTGAAGGAATTCCACCTTTACTTTTATAATATCTTATTTTTATAAAACATTTATTTTACTTTCCATTAAGAATTTTTGCAGTTCATGTCTCTGGTTTACTGATGTATGTTCCCAAGGATTAAAGTACAGACACATTTCCAAGTAGCCTTTTTCAACTAAAAGGCATAAGGAAACGCTCAAATGTCTTTCATGATATGGCCATGATTTGTGATGCTCTAAATAATGTATCATGGAAGTTTACCAATGTCTTTCTTTTTAAATGGGCAGAGGAACCCTTGGGACAGGTGGGTATTAATGAAAAGAAAGAGAAATAAACTAAAATAAGAACAGTTACCCAGGAGGAGAATATAAACAAAAGCAGTAGGAAAACTCTCCATAGTTTTCTGGAGAAGTTAGTGGTACTATCAACAATGTTTCAAAAATGTATCCAGTTGAAAAATCACTGGAGTTTTTTTATTTTTTTCTTCCTAGTTGAGGCTTTGTATTAATATTTTGCCCGTATTTCAAAACAAAAAAAAAAATGGAATAAGTCTTTACTAAAAATATACAAGTGAATCCATTTTTTGGTGTGTTGGTATTCAACTAAAGTCTTCTTCAGTCTTCTCGTTCACCTAACACAGCAAAATATTTTACTTGGGAAATGTACTTATTATTACCTCATCACAGAAAATAAATATTAATTTATGGAAAACAAAAATTACTGAAGGTTTAATGAACTGTAAACTGTATTTCAATAGCACCTAGGTATCTTCAAGTCCTTTGCAAATGGCAGCCTAATTTTGCTCTTCATATGCACACCCAGCCTTTATAGCTGGAAATTTACAGGCCTTCATGTAATATGAATGATTGAAAAAAGATTTGACCTAAGCAGGACATATATTCCCCGGCTCTTGTGATTAACCTCCACCCACCTGAGACTATACTGCATGAAATTCAGGTCTTCAGCAACATTCATTTCATAAACCACTCAGCATAAAACAAATACATCTGCTTCTCCTGCAGAAAGGCAGGCAAGTCTACATTCAAATGCTTTGTTACAACAAAATGTATAATGCAGAAATCTAACTGCCAAATTCATTATTCCACAGTACATACTCCTCTAGATAGTGTAAGATTGTAATGCAATTAAAGAGGTTGATCTCATCCAGTTAGCTTCATTATTACATTTGACAGCGTGAGATTTGGTTATTGAATTCACTGGGACTGCTACAGAGCTCAGGTGCCACAGGGAAAACTCCAGGCTGCACTGTCAAGTTCCCCTTTGTGACTCAGATGTGATCCACCACTGCTCAGGAAGCCCAGTATGCTTTCAGCACAGCAGTGGAAGACATAATACACCCTTCAGTTCTCCATAGAGGATCAGAGCAAATATCTGGGAGTGGTAACTGCTTCAGACACTCAGACTTTCATCTACGTGCATTTGTGAATCAACATTCTCACAAGAGAGAAAAATCGTTGCTGAAGGTTGGTTTACTTCTTTTCTACTCAAAACTGAGCAGACACACTTAAAAAGTCAGTAATCACATCTGAAATGCCTGAAAGCCACTAAGAGTAGAAACGCAGTTTCTTAAATTTGCTCTCAGAAGTAATGGACCTTTGTGAGCATAACTACTCCCTCTCAACCAGGTTAGTCTAACTCACCTTCCTTTCCATGTCATCTGCATGGCTTTTGCAATGAGTGCGCTCACGTGGTCCATACACCTGAAACTGCCACCTCTCGTTAGTGAATCCCAGCATGAACACAGCAGCCCTTGGTGACTAATGAGACTACATATAAATTCTCTCAGCCCAAGGTCACAGAGATTGATAAAAACCACCTCAACTTCCTTTTGTTTGCTCAGTCTCCATCTCCTTGCTGTCACAGGGTGGTTGACTTTGTAAGGATTCCTTACTGATTTTGATACTGATTAAAGAAAGGAAGATCTAAGCCATCTCTTTGACTAAATGGTGCTAGAAATATCTCTATTGCTGGCATGAACATGAGGAAGTTGAGGAAGCTGCTCTGAACCTCTCTCAGATATTCATTACTGACTCCATCACATATCATGACACTGGACTGCACCTGCATGCAGGAATTTGAAAAGCACAGTTTCATCAGATGTGGATACAAATTTTATGTATTATTATCTTGCCATGTTTGAGTTGATATCAAGGGCTCAGTCACACAGTCATCTAGACATAGTTTTTGGGTAGACCAGAACTGCTCAAAACCAACAGAATGAGAGGAGATTACACCCAAACCACGAGACTGAGCTAGCTGGAGTTGGTTTTTGATCTTTCAATACTGAAAGAGTTAAGCAGTAAAACAGGTTGTTTCCTGTTGTTTCCTGGACGAGTTTCCAGAATGAAGTTGTTTCTGTGTGAAAAAATTGCTGGCATATGCTAGGCAATACATATTTCTTTGTGCAGTGACAGCTAAAGTGATGAATAAAGAAAACTTATCATTGTTTCAGATGGGATTTCTGAAGCAGGGTAAATTGCAAGGTCAAAGAATAGATGTTCCTTCAATTGATTTCAAAGTATTAAGACACAGAACAAGTATTTTTGATTCACAATGGACAAAAAAAATTCCTTAGGAATTGTGCAGAGAGTTTGCAAGTCATATGTATTGCCTGGATCTAGCTAGATATACAGTTAGACAAAGATGATTTCCAGATGAAGAGCTTGAGCAACTGGCAAGATAAGAAAGCTTTCCAAAGATATCAAGGCTATATGCACAGAGAATAGAACAGTCAAAGGAAGATTAGAAGTATTGTTTTAAGATACTGAGCTTGATATGTCAATGTCTGGCTGGCAACTTTCAGAAAGATATCAGAGATTTTCATTTGGATAGTAGCAGCTTAGGAAAGACAGCTGCACAAATAATAAGGACAAACTGGTTAAATTTATATTCAGGAAAGAAATAGTGTAGGAAGAAAGAAAGATGAAAACATCAATGTGCCACATAGAAAACTGGGACTGGGGAGATGGAAGATGAAGAAGATCTGACAAATAGTACACTGGGAAAAACCAAAAGAGAAGAAAATCTCCCAGAGACAATCAAGGTCAATTGTTGCAAAAGCAACTGGCAGCAGAGATAACGAAGCTGGAATTTAGACTTTGACATTTTGTTCAGAAGTAGTACAGATGATAGTTGTAAGGTAGGTTTCTTCACTTGATTCACAACATAGATCTACCACTAGGACTTACAAATGGTCTTTATTTTACTTAACTGTGAAACATGATAAAAGTAAAGCCTAATTCACTCTGTCACAAAGTGTTCAGTTTAAGATCTATGAGGATTCCATGCACCAGTCTGAAAGGAGTAATATAACATAAATCTTCCTCCGGAGTTTCTGAACAACAGTAGAGAATAATCAAATGCATTCAACTCTTAGGACTATACATATATACACATTACATATATACATACATTTACATAAATGTATTTTAACTGTCTGCATAGGTTGTATTTTACACTCAAATAATTTGAACATGTGTTTCGCATTTTGCCATTGCAGCCATATGCTATTTATTAATGTGAAGAAAATAACACAAAAACAAAGCTAGCTAAAACTGTTTTTTGCTGGGCATCAAGGGCAAGGATAAAAATGGTCTATTAGGAAAAAACGGCTGCACTGTGAGCAATTTCTTAAGACCATGGCTGAGTTAAGAAAAAGGCAGAGAAGGAGCTGTGTAAATGACACAGCCAGCATGATGGATCACAAAGAAGTTCTTTGTAGCAAGACAACCTTTGTACAGATGCAATCTTCCTTTGTTTTCTGCAGTGTGTATGGCAATTAAGCTGATAATATTGACACATGATGTACAAAGGGGAAAAGACCTCAGGGGTGCAGGAACAGACTACTAGACAGAATTAACCTCGTAAAAAGATCTAAACCACAAATATTTGTATTTGAATGAATATATATAATCTCTGTTTGGAGACAACTGGGAGAAATAGGCAACTCCAGAATGGAGTCAACTGCCCTGAGATATGTGCCTTAAAATTCTTCTTCGACTATAAAGGATGTTGAGAGCGATTATTTTACAGGCAGATTGCTAGGTTAGGGCAAATGAGTCTGTTTTAATCCCTCCTTTCATTTTCTTGGATTTTTATAATTTTGGGGTGAATGCGCAACATGGTAGCAAAATTCCAGCAGATCTGGGGAGAGGCAGACACCATAACATTTCACTGGTACTGTATAAGAAGTTAAAATGACTCTTACCCCATTACTATTGTATCTTATTTACTAGAATATGTGTTAGATATTGATTGCATTCATCAGTCACATGGTGATACAGAAACTTCTTCCTGATAAAATCTCTTTTTCAAATGTGGCAAGAACTCCACAGCTCTATCAGGCAAGGGTGTTGGTGCCCTGTGCATGCTCCTAGTCTTGCACTGCCCAGTATTAATCTGTTCACTTATTCATAGAATCATAGAATCACAGGATCATATAATAGTTTGATTTGGGAGGGACCTTTAAAGGTCATCTGGTCCAACTCCAGACGGTGAGCAGGAACATTTTCATCTAGATCAGGTTGCTCAGAGTCCCATCCAACTTGACCTTGAATGTTTCCAGGGATGTGGCATCTACAGCCTCTCTAGGCAACCTGTTCCAGTCTCACCACCCTCACTATAAAGGATTTTTTCCTTATATGTAATCTAAACTTACCCTCCTTTACTTTAAAACCATTACTCCTTGTTCTATTGCAACAGGCCCTAATAAAATGTTTTAAGTATTGAAAGGCCACAATGAGGTCTCCTTGGAGCCTTCTCTTCGTCGGGCTGAACAACCCTAACTTTCTCAGCCTTTCCTCTGAAGAAAAGCCAGCAGACAGCACTCTGCATGGAAAAGATACACTGATTGGCATTGAAAAGACTCCACCCTCTCACATTCTCCTGAACTAACATGGGTGTACCAACTGCAAACTGGGACAAGTGAATGGACCCAGGAAGTGTTTCCAAGTGTTTTTGTCAAAGTGCTTTGTGCCCTTCATTGCAAAGTCTTGCTGTTAACAGCAGATGCTTAAAAACACTGCAAAATGAAAACCTACCACATGTTTCTTCTGTTTTCAATTGAAATGGAATGAATTGTTCTAATTCTGGCATTGAAATCAAAACATCCTAAATTACAGTAATTTGTTTCTCTTTATGAGTCATTGTACAGTCTGAGAGTGCACATTACTGAGGCTTTCAGTAAGGGTCTAATCCTGTGGGCTTCTTCAGACCAAAGATCTCAGTTAAGTGAGGTGGGGCTCTGCTCTGAGAACTCAACCCACACTCTGGTAGAGTGTGCACTGTGTGCTCTCTAGTCTCAGATATAGCAAGATCCTCCAGTTCTGTGATGGGGGAAATACAGTGTCACTGACACGAGAAAACATCTTTTGTTGCTGAGCCTGTGATGCTGATTACTTGAACTGCTTCTGGTTGCTCGTGGGAACTCTGCCAGGCTGCAATCTGCTGCAGCAAGGAGGAAGCCCTAAGGGAGAGGATAACACCTGGAGCATCCACCTTCTGGGAAATGGGGTTTGGTCCCTGCTCTCCCTCCTCTGGCTGCTCCACGCTGAGCTCCAGCTGTTCTTTCACTTTGTTCTGCTGCAGTGGCTTTTAACCATTTCTCACTCCCACTTCATCACTCTGGTGGGGAGGAATGTAAGGAGAAGAGGTAGGAAATGCATCCCAGTTGTGTTGTGTAGCACCTAATGCTTCCTGGGGCATTCTGGGGGTGCTAGGGGTAATACATTCAGGATTAAGAGGGAGAGAGTGCTGGGCTTGTGTAGCAAGGTTTTGGTCATGGCTAGGCTACAAGGTGATCCCTGTCAGAAAAGACCAGGAGCTGACACAGCTGCCATGTCAGACACAGACAGTCCTAAGATAGACCTGCCACTGCTCAAAGCTGAGCCCATCACTGATGCTGGTAGTGCCTCTGTGATAATATATTTAAGAAAGGGTAAAAAAGGCTGTGCAACACCTGGAAGAGAGAGAAGTGAGAAAATGTGATAGAAACAGCCCTGCAGATTCCAAGGTCAGGGAAGAAGGAGGGGGAGAAGTGCTCCAGGCTCCAAAGCAGAGGTTCCTCTGCAGCCTGTGGTGAAAACTAAGGTGATGCTGGCTGTTTCCCTACAGCTCATGGAAGACTAAAGTGAAGCAGATATCCACCTGTAGCTGTGAAAGATCCACACTGGAGCAGGTTGATATGCTCTGGAGGAAGCTGCAGCCTGAGAGAGATGACCACACAGGAGCAAGTTTTCTCGCAGGAACTGTGGCCCACACTTGAAACAGTCCGCTCCTGAAGGACAGCATCCGGCAGAAGGACCAATGCTGGAGCACTTGGAGAACTGCGGCCTGTGGGAAGGGCCTATGTTGGAGAAGTTCATGAAGAACTGCATTCCATGGGAGGATTCCCACGTCAGAGTAGTGGAAGAGCATCAGGAAGAAGGAGTGACAGAGGCGATGTGTGATGAACTGACTTTAACCCCTACTCCCCATCATGTTGCACTGCTCTGTGGGGACGAGGCTGAAGAGCTAGGAGAGAAGTTGAGCCCAAGAAGAAGAACAGAGTGGGGGACAGTTTTTCTCAGATATTTTTTTATTTCTCAGTGTCCCACTTTTACAATTAATTGGCAATAAATTACATTTATCTTCCCCAAGTTGAGTCTGTTTTGCCTGTAGCAGTAACTCTTGAGAGAACTTCTTGTCCTTATCTCAACCCATGAGCTTTTCATCTTATTTTCTCCCCTTACTGAAGAGGTGGAGTGAGAGTGCCCTGGCAGTTAGCCAAAGTTGGGACCACGGAGAAGACTGAAGAAAATCCTATCACTACTTTTTATGATGAATATATAGTATAGCATCTTGATAAAAAAAGTACCTGTAAGATAATCAAGGCATTCCAACAACTTCTTCTCCCTGGTAAAATCAAGTGCGAAAGTATCAAAAGTATCATTGAGATTAATTTCAGGAATTAGAACCTGGGAGGATGCAGTTGCCATGGAAACCCTGTAATGAAAAGAAAAAACTCTTTTAGCACTCAAGACACAATAACTTTCACGTCAACATTGACCTGATCAATATGATTATCACAGTCATTGTGATTGTTTTTTTCTCAAAAAGTTTGACAAAAACTTTTATGTGTATTTTATTTATGTTGTTTAAGTTAGGAGCTTGTCCTAACACTTTTATTTTTGAGAGCAAAATCTCCAATAAAAACTTATTACTGAACTTTGGTCTAACATGCAGTGTCAGGGAAGATTTTAAAAAAATATTAGTTAGGCAACAATGTACTTTGAATTGTTCTTTCTAATGATCCGTTGAACCAAAGTAGCAAGAGCACCATAATTATCTGTGTTTCAAGCAATCCTGACAGATGCTGCATCTCTCCCAACCCTTCTTTTTCCAAGCAGTTTCTGGCTCCAGGCATTCCTTGGCACTGCTATCCCAAGGGCTTGGTGCAGATCCCCACACCTCCTCAGCTGTTCAGCACAGCACACTGCTGTTAACTTCAAAAGGCACAGGGGGGAGATAAAACAAATAGATGTCAGCACAGTTTATTTTGAAAGGCTTTTCCCTGAAAAGCATGGGTGCATCCTTGCATTTCCTCCAAAAACAAAAGGTTTCCTTGCCTACCTCATTTCAGGAGCTACATCCACATTTTCTCTGTCCTGCTGTACTAATATAAAGAGATGAACTTTCACAAGAAAACTGTCATCACGAAGGATTTTTCAGATCCTTCAGCCTGGTATCTCAAAATGCGTGTTTCTGGAGAGCTGGATTATGGATATGTTTACAGAAGGCTCAGTTGATTTAGGCAAAGAGATTACTAAGCCTCATTAGAAACTGGTCAATTGCTTCAGTTTGGAGATAAACAGACAACCATGCACACAGTGCATGTCTGTTATCTGTCATTCATGACGTGTCAGATAAAAATATTTTGATTGCTTCAACTAAAATTTTCCCAAATCAGAGTATTTTTTCTGTAGACAGAATTGAAATGGCTCTGGGACAAATGTTTACTAAGGACTATTTTTTCATATATTTTTTGTTTAGTATTTTAGGAAAGTACAGTTAAGAGAGTCAAAAACTGATCTGTACATCTCATTGTCTTCAGCATAATTTTCAGAAACTGAGCTGAGGAGGGTTCCTAGTCAATAATTCTTGTTATACAGTTTTGAACATGGTTTCTCTTGCAACTGTGGTGTAGAAATTAGTTTAAAATAGATCCTAGGACAGATTTTTTTTTCTTACGGAGCCCAGTTGAAGTGCCTTTTGCCCCATGTATTTAAAGGGAAAAATTCTCTCAGCTTTTATACTTCTTTATTTTTTTGTAAGAGCTTATTCAAACACCTCCACAAAGCACATATTTATTATGTAGACTGTATCACCAAGCCTTTTTGGACTGTCATTTGGGGCCATGCAAAAGGTGCTCTGTGATTACATGTGTTACACTCAGATTTTGGTGAGCTCAACAATTCACAATTTCAGACACCATGTCACAATATTAGGTTCAAAGGACTGAATTTCATTTTGTAATTCTTTCTGCTCTGACACTGTACTTGGTTGGAAAGGGTTTTTCTGGGATAAACACATTTTGCACACTGCAAATAATGCACAGCCTAAATCATCGGAGTGTGTGTAGTGACTTTGCTTGCATAGCTACCAGTTGTGTTTACAACAGAGAATATTATACTGCAATTACTTTGAAATATGTGGATGAAGAAATGCAATGAGCATGATTTCAGGAGACTGCTTTAGCTGCTGGAGCTCAAGACCCTGGTGAAACTGTTACATGAGCAATTTAAAAGCAGACAAAATGTTGCTCACCACATGAGAAGTAAGAATTACTTGTGAGGAATAATTTATTAATCTGATTTAGTATCTTTTTCCATTTGCAATTTGTCTGTAAGCACTTGGTGCTTTTTTACCCTTGGTTTTATTCACTGCCTGAAATGATTCCCTGATTTGCAGGGCGTTCACAGCCGTCTCATTACAGACAGCAATCTGTGATAGCCAAGAATTAAGTTTGATTGGGCCCATATGTCAGCTTGTCTCATTTTTGCTCTCCCAGTGTCTCTCCTGTGACTGTATTTATGATGCAACTGTTCATGTTTTACAAGTTCAAAATGGAGCTTCTCTGACTATTCTCTGGTAGTCACTTAAAAAGCTCTGTGTCTCCACAGGTTTCTGCCCTACTGCTGGTTCTGCTGAATACTGAAAAAAGGACAGACCCCCACATTTCGCTTTTGGTACTCATGGTAGTTTTACTACTAGCTTCAACTGGGATGCCACAATGTAGCTTGGTGACAGAATATGAATTAGGCTCTAAGTCTGAAAGACCACATATTCTCCACTGCTTTGCCTGGCCTTGCCTTTTTCAACAGATTTTCAGTTCTCTGAAACTGTAATGAACAACCCAGTGTTGATGGCTTTGCTGAAGACTGATACAGCAAACCACAGTAAGTGGTAGACTTAAAAAAATACATAATAGGAGCAGGGAATTTCATGCTTTGGATTCAGGGAGAATTGACTGGAGAATGTAAAAATACAATGCAAACCCAGAAATAAAGAAATAGTTGAATGAATAAGCGTACTTTTGATGGCTTTCTTCTTCATTGTTCAGAGATATTCTCCCTGTTTTGTTTTGTGGTTTGTTTTTTAAATATTATTGATTGATTGCCAGACAGTTGATAATTCCAACAGAACATTTTTTTTCATCAAAAAATACTGCAGAAATTCAGTGGGAATGTTTCAGCATTCACAGCATTGCACTGAAAATTTCTGATAGCACAGTCCTTTTCTTGAGGTCCTTGATATATATGACATGTTGAAAAGAAGCCAGGACCCTAAAAACAATAGAAATTCCCTGTACCAAAGGACCCAATAAAGTAACTGATGTAACTTCCAGACATTCAGACTGTTTAATCTCTATCTCTTCAAAGATGCATGGTGGCTTGCTATTTGGTGAAAAAGATGTATCCATTAAGACCATTACCAGTTTCTTCTAAGGAATGTACTTCCTGCCTGACTTCTTTCTCAATCTCAGAATTTTTCATGAAGTAGGAATTTCAGCCTCCAGAAACCTTTTTTTTTTTTTGGTGGGTTTAGTACCAGACATCTGCTTGGCAACCATTCTACCTCTTTCATTTGTGCATGCTGTTAACTGTTCTAAATCTTAATTTGCACCTTTTCTTGACTGCTCCTCAAAGGTGTGTTTTGACTTAGCATTACAGTAAGGTTTCTTCCCACTCTGGTACAGCACAAAGTAGTGTTTTAGGAGTGTGTGTCAATTACTGCTCTGTCTTTGACCACATCTGTGGAGTGACAAGACTACGGAAATTATGACAACTCAACAACCTTAAAGTGAGGTTTTTCTCCTTATCAAGAGGAATATCTTCTTTACCTTTCAGTGATATTTTTAGCTGTCTGCAGGAAACGAGCGTGATCATTCTCCTTCAGCGACTGCTCAGCCTGAGAGATGAGGGATGTCGAGCGCTCAATGCACTGTTTGCAGTTCGCAATCTGCTGAGCCAGTTTTCTCAACCTCACCACCTTGAGTGAAAACATAAGAAGGCAGTCACATCTCTAAGGTGTGTATCATGATTGTATTTGCGCTTCAGAGGCAAACCTTGGCAAAGGAGGAGTTAAGACGAATGACTTCGGTGACAAGAGCTTCTTTCACACAAGCTTTGTGGGGAATTCCATCTAGCCATGCAACATTTTCAGTAAGGGACAGGCACAGTCTTTCTGCTTGAATATTTTCCACATGGAAAACAAAGGGAGAGAGCCAAAACAAGCACAGCTGGCCTATTTTCCAGCAGAAGGAACGTAATTTCCTGGTAATTTCTGCTTACATGATAACTAAGGGCTATTTAGATAACCATTTCCCTGAAATTATGAGATCTGTTTTAAAGACATCTTATAGATTAACTACATTTTTCCTATTACTTAAGTGAATTTCATAAAAAGAAATAATCTTAAAATATAACTTAACAGAAAAAGACTATTCGGTTCTACTAAGAAGACACACCTGACCTTCTCATTATGTGCTTTTAGTCAGACAGGGTGTTTTCTTGTTGGATATTTTTAACTGGACAAAAGCACAGTAGTGCTGGAGAGATGATTATTATTACTGCAAACATATGTGCTGGAGATAAACACAGTAGATGTGACTGTAATCATTAGCTGAAAGGTTAGGAAAGGGCACAGTCAATCCTCCATTTAAAGACAATGTTGGCTAGCAAAACTTCCAGGAACTAGAATAGTTCCTGAAAGGTCTGGGAGTCCTTTCCATTGTTATCACATCAGGACCATAGTTTGAACAGGAGTAAGAAATAGGAAGGAAATTAAGTAATTCTGAAGTTTAGAAAGGCACATTAAGAGCCAGTTACATTCAAAATGAGGAAACTAACAACAAAGTGGATTGGCAGAAATATTCAAATTTATGATCAAGACAACATTCCCAGTCTCAGGAATTACGGCACAAGCTATGAAGCTGCTGAGTTAAATTTCAGATATATTTGCATCCTAAACATAAATGAGGGTGTCTTAGTATACCTATCTGACAACAGAAATAAGTAGGAAAATAAACTTTTTTGAAAAACTTTCCAAAAAAGATACTGGCCAAATGATTAATGTCATGTAACATTAGTATTTCTTCTACAGATAGAAACAACAAAGCAGGGAAAATGCTGGGAATGCATGAATTTTAATAATGCTAATGATCTGACCAGCTTCTAGGATGAACTAATGCAATAATGCTTTCTCTGCCTGTGCATTTGCAGAGATTACAATTTGGTCTATACCAGTCTAACCGGGAAAGGTTCACTGCAGTGTTAAGAAGCTCATCTCCTTATTAATTAAAAAGTAAACAGTGAACTGAAATAAATGTTACCTTGTGAGTTTTTTGCAGTCAAAAGCAGGCATGTCATGATTTGTGACATATGTTTTTTGCTTGCTTGCTTCTTTTTTTATATCTTCTTCAAGAAGATAATGGATGATAAATTGTAAAAGGAAGAGTCTCATCTCACTCACTCCCCACCCACTTCTGCAATGGTAGGAATGAAATCTGCCCTAAAATTATCTTATCTAGTTGATATTTGTTTTTTTCCTGTTACAAGATCTGTGGGATTTTGTAGGTTTCAAGTGACAGGTGAGATTAAGGATGGAGCTGCACCAGGTTTTCACACTTGTGTGACTTCAAGGCTGAATCTCCAGGCTTGTAGACACAGCTAGAACTTTATACCGAATGTTTTTAGCTCCGTAGCTGTAACTACAGTCCTACAGAGAGATCTGTCATGCCCTACCTTCCAGAAAGGCCCCCTTAAAAGAAGATACATTGGGCAGAATTTTCTGTGGCTTTTCACATGAGTCTCTTGAACCCCTGAAACCTTTCAACATATACAACATTTGGGTCAAAGCATTCCAGATCTTTACTGGACCTCCACTGTATCACTTTTGGCTCAACAAAGCAGAACAAAGAATCGGGACAGATTCTGATATCAGCTCTGCTCAAATAAATTTGGACTCAATGTGTTGTAAATCTTCCATGCTAAATGGACATTAGAATACATCTTTGCAAGAAAAGTTTTTAAAAACAATCATGTATATAGCACAAATCCAAATGAATGGAAAGTTTGCTACTTCATTGGCAGCACATCTGGTCTCACTGCACAGAGAAACAGAGTTGAAGAAAACATGAAGAAGACCATCTATTCCATTTGAAGGGAATTATATTTTGTTAACAGCATGAGGAAATTCAGGTTCTGTCACGCAGTGTACAGGACCTGTGGCTTCAAACATGTTTAAGTCAGCCCCTGCTTACAGGTTTTTCATTTCAACTTAATTGGAATATCTTGACAGCCACATGAACCATTTAACCTGCTCTTGACTTTCTTCCTTTCCTGAGCTTTTCCCACACAAGAAGAGTTTATATTTGACTTAGTTAGGTTAGCAGTTAAAGAGTAAATACTGTGCACCTAGCAAATAAAAATATTAATTCAATCGTAATGCATTTCTGAGTTAACAGCTAGCAAAATGTGTTGAAACTTAAATATCAGAGATTTTTCCTGCTCAATATGTTTGCCACGAATAATCACTGGACCTCAGGAATTATAAATGCACACAATTTAATTTCTTGCATTTTTTTAATATCTTCTTTTGTAAATAAATTAAGACTTCCTATTCGCATGAATTACACACACACATGCAATGACTGGAATAAAATCTTTATGTGATAGTATTTGAATAAATAATGAAATTATCTAGAAAAAAAATCATGTAGATAATTGCCAGACATGATTCCAAATGCTGTGACATTTTGTGAAAGTAAAAACTAGGGGGGAAAAACTGTCAGGCATAAAACATAGTTCAGGAATCATTAAGTAGACATAATTTAATTGTGATTTACTGATTGTGACATCATGTCTGTTTTCATCCTTAAAAAATACAATTACACTTAGTAAGAGAAATGCCAAATAAACAGTTGAGGTCTAGCATACTAATTTTTCAAGTATTTCATTCTTCTTTATATGAAAGTAGCAGTAGCCCAGGACTACATAAGAACTTTTACAATTTTGTATTTATAGTACCTGCAGTCAAAACAGCTGTAAACCCAAGGAAGCAGTACTGACCTGCTTGGGATCTAAAGAAGAAAAGCTTTTACCTTTCCTTCTTTGATCTTGGTTCCAATTATTTGTCTTCTTTGCTGGATAATTTCAATGAGCTGGTCACATTCTTCCATCAGTTTGGTTTCTTGGCGGGACGCATTTACCTACAAAGAAAAAGATGATTAACAAAACCGTTTTTAACGTTTTCCTTTCCCCTTTTCTAATTTGAAAATTGTAATTTCAAAAATGTTGTGTTTGGCACTTTTTTGCTCTTTCTGTGTATAATCTGTATGTTATTTTCTCCTCTCTCTCTTGTATTTCATGAAATACTGAATTGAGTCTCAATGTCTTTTTTAACAGGAGGCAGGACTTGCAAACAGATAATCGGGTATTTCTAACCCACGTGAGAAAAAGGTCCTGTGAGTATTGAGTCATTACTGCACATCAGTGAGAAATGACGTCTCTTCAGGATGTGCTTAACACATCACAGTTTCCAGCCATATAAAGGACTGCAGTGAACAACAGTGCACTTAAGAGCACGAGTACTGGATCAGACAATCCATCTAGTGCAGTATCCCCTCTCTCACTGCTGCTAGTACCAGGATGTAGCACCAGGATCTGCTAGTAAAGCATGTAAGGAAAAAGTCCCTACGTGTATAATGACTCCCACGAATGTTTTCTCATCCTCCAACCATTTGCAGCTCAGAGTCTTCTTGAATCAGACACAATTTGTACATCATTACTAATCCTCAGAAGAATTATATTACATGGATTTATTTGGTCTCTCCTTCAACCCCTGGAAACTTTAAGTATCTGCACCATTCTACAGCAATAAGCACCACAGTTTAACTCAGAGGAAAGTGAGCAACTCTCTCTTTAGAGGGATTTGAACCTCCCTCCTTCCAGTTGCATTTAATGACCTCAAGTTCTTTTACTGGAAAGGAAGTGAACTAATGATACCCATATATGTCCACGTATTGGTTCCCAAAAGTTTCAAACTACCAAAGATCCAAGTGACAATACCAAGTCATGTATCTTGACTACCTGCAGTGAATCAGACAGAAAATAATAGATGTGCTCATGTAGTTTTCTAAAGTATAAATATATGAGCCAATGAAACTGTTTCTAATGCAAAAAAGCTCACAAAGAACATTAGCTTTCTATGGAAAAAGTTGACTTTTGTAAAAAAATAACAAGAAAACTTATAGTAGAAAAGTTTTGATTCTCAGATGAAAAAGTTTTTTTCTGGAGGAGGTTGATTTTTTTGGTGAAAAGTCATCATTTTGTACAACAAGAAAATGTACTTCCCCTTCAGCAGTAGTATGTGTAAAGGGTCAGAGAAAAAGGTAAAAAGGTCTAATCATATCTAGAATAAAGCAAAATTGAAAAGACTGATTTCAGAGCTATGTTTCCATTTGCACTTTGCTAAGAGTAAAAGAGGGTAAGAAGGTAAAGCAGGCTAATTGCCCCTACAGCCATGTCACCTTTTCCACTGCGCTAGTAAGAATCAGTGGTGAACAATAACAGGCAATAGTTTCAGGTGACAAGTAACTGTATTTCACCCCTTGGCTATTTTTTCAGTCCGATGAGCCCCTTGATCTGCATCAGCATTCTTTTTTTTTCTTCCAACAATGTGCTTAAACATGCATTTACCTGTAAGCACATTATGGAGCTTGTTAAGCTTAAGCAAATGCTTATATATCTAAATTTGGACCAGGACCAATTTTGCAAATAACCTCCTTATGTGAAATACACAGTATCCTCCAGGCAAAGAGGGGACTTTTTGCAAAGGCTTGCTTTCATCAAGGTTTTGGATTATCCTTCTCAAACCTTCATAAAATAAAGGTTTGTTTGCACATTTTAGAAGCTTAGTTATTAATTAGATATCAAGATAATGAAGAGAGAATGCATTTGTTTCTGGAAAGGGTCCGATGTAACTGTAAGTGCTGAAAAGATCTGCGTGCAGGAGGTGAAGATGAAGAAACTTCCACCGTGCTGTTTTAGGTGCCTACCTATCTCCTTAGGTTAGCTGTTTGCTATGCCTGGTTTCTCACCACAGTCCATGAGAGACAGACCACTGAGCAGCTCACCCAAAGCCTCCAGCAGTGCCAGTGTCTCTCCACTGACAGCTCAGGTAGCCTGGAAAAATTAATCAGTCAGCACTGTCCTTCCTATAGCCTCTCCTTGTTGTCCCACCACCTTGGCTGCATCATGGACCTTCCTTCAAGCACAAAACTCTGCAGGGCTGTTCTCAACAAGCTGTTCAGTGTGCTAGTTTCCCCAGCCCTGACTTCAGTTTCACAAGTAGACTGAAATTCCACCAAAGAGTGGGGAATCCTACACAGGCTCAGCCAGTGGCAGTGATCACATCCACTGCTTGTAGGCATAACTCCTGTGTCAATACCAAGGTCAGCTCACACCAGAGCCAACTTCAGCACTTAATTATGGTAACACTTTTGGCACTTAATTACAGTAACACTTCACGGGATTTTTGAGTAGCTTCCACTCAAAGCGTTACTTCTAGCAACACTTACATCACCAACTCATTTTGTCAAGCAGAACTAATTAATTTTTGGAATAACTGTCATGAAACATAGAGTAACAGGAAGGTTAAGTCAATATTGTTTCATTTAATGCTCTGGTTGATTTGAATAACAATGTATTAATTGAATCTTAACTTAAAAAGCCCTAGACTTAGAAAACCAAAATGCTTGGGAAAAAACCTTTGGATTTCTTTGACTGCAGAATTCTTTTTTTCTTTGAAATCTGAATAGTACACTCTTTTATAAACTTCATTTGAAGACATTTCCAACTGTATAGCTTGTACAAGCTTATTAAAAATGAAAGGAATATTCCAAAATTATATGATACATCTGAGCTTTGTATGAAAAAACCCAAACCCCAACATTTAATCTAGGGCTTTTCTCAAGCTGAAATAGTCCTTAATCACATTTTCAGCCTACAAAACCTCTGATTGAGTAATAACTTTATAATTGAGCACATGCCTAATTTTACGTGCACTATATTAGCTGTGGCCCTAAAGGGACCATTTGTGAGATTACCACTGAATATTATTTACTTTTTTGTTTCCTAGGAGTCATATGTCAGACCAAAGACCCATAGGCATGGATCAGGGCTCCACTGTACAGGTGCTACAGAAATACCAGAATAAGGCTTTGCCTTCTGCTTGAGTCCTTTGATGAACAACAACCTTGACAATAACTTCCAGCTGGGGCTGGCCAAGGAATGCAAGTTCTGTCTGGTGAAAATATTTGAGGTTTTACATTCTACATTTTTCCACAGTAAAAACCAGAGGCTTAGTTATGATTTAGCAAGAACTATGACATTGTCTACAAACAAGCAAGCAAGAACTGATTCTAGTCCTCCTGCTTTTGTGGGGAATTTATTCCTACTTCTGTAATATGCAAAGATCTCAAACAGGTTACTGAAAAAAAAAAAAAAACCCTAACAAATTTCAAGTTTCTTTCCAGGTTTTCCGGGCAGATGGATAGGGACTGTTGCACTTCGCCTCAGGAAGTGGTTGTAGTAAAAAAAGAAAAATAGGGGTTCCTCAGATGTCTGATAGGGACCTGGAAACAACAATCCCTCCCAACCAAAAAGGGAGAGCAGGCCAGCTGTTCCCATCTCCACAGCCTCAGAACTGTTTGGGAAGTGTTCTGCTCTCTGTAGAGGCTTCCTTGGCTTTCATCTTCAGAGACCTGAATTAAATTGCAGCTTAGGTCATAAGAAAATGAATGTGGTGGTTTCAAAGTCCCCAGCAGATGTTTGAGAAATCACAGCACTACAGCATGGCTAAAGATTCGAGATTACAGTGGAGCTTCTATGGTTAATTCAAAGGCAAACAGTCAGAGGGCTAAAGTCATACCCACAAAAACTTCATCAACTAATATACTGAAGAAAAGGATTTTTTGTAGTGTCTCAGCAGAATTTTCCTTGCAGGAACAAAACTCTCACTCTGAGATTCCTTATAGGTGAGGCAATACTGTCCACAAGTGGAAATCCTCGTGTGTCTTTTTGGCAAATAATCTCTAAATGACAAGCAAAATAAGACACCCTAAATTAGATGTGGCCTGCTTTTTTAAGACTACACTGACTGGGACAAATTCATCAAAACCAGAGCAATTTTTATTTACTAGTCCTGCACTGACTATGCAAAGTGAAAGAAAGTAGGTGGTAGAAACAGCCTTATCTTTGGAAACTGAGGTATGCATTTGTGTTTCAGCTTCACAATATAAAAATAGCCTCAATTCATCAAAGAATAATTTCTTTGTAGCTGTGGGCATGCAGGTAAAGAAGAGGTATGAATTTTTCTTTATGCATTTGAGTTGATAGTTATAGAATGACTGTATACTCACAAGAAAACAAAAACATCAGAAAAGCAAATGGTAGGATTCCACTCAACAACTGTACATCATCATATACTTCTCTCCAGATTTGAGCCTGAATTCCCTCTTACACCAAGCTCAGAAACTGGGATAAAAAAATCTAAAGTGATTACATATAATGGCTGGTACCTGTTTATCTAGGAAAACTTTCTTCATTGTCATGTAGATGTGGAACACATTTTCTTGGATTAGAGTCCCTAGATGAATTAAAGGATTATACTCCTCTAAAGAGAGAGGTCTATTTTCCTCTGTGTTGTAAAGGGAATAACTTTTCTTCATAGATCCACAATACATTGAAGTAATATTTTAACATTGTCCATGTTTCATTTATTTAATTAATAGAAATACAAAGGATAATGATTAATGCACATTTATGAAAAAGTTTCTTCTCTTTCTTTTTATGGATGGCTAGGTTGAATGAGGGTCATGAATTCAAACTTCCTTCATTCCATATCCCTGTTTGATATTATGGATTATTCAATTTAGTCTTCTGTAGAACAAAAGAAACTCTTGGAATATAACTTTTTCAGACTTTGTCTAGTCTATGTGTAAATCTGATTTTATCTATTATGACAAACTGAGCCTTTGGAAATACATGGTATTACTCAGCTTGCCATCTAAACGGATCTTCAACAAATCCTTTATTCTGAAATGGTGCAAAAGAAAAAGAAACGGTCATCTTCCATTTCAAGTGTGCCAGAGGCTTTGTTTTTGTTTGCATTCCACATCTATCTCTAACTAGGAGACCTGTGTTTAGA